TAACAAGCAAAATAATATAAACAGTATTATGAAATTGTAAATATTTATGTTCTTGGGTTGTAACTTGTTTTGTTATTTTAATTTTACCGATTAATAATCATATTTATAAGCAGAATGAAATAAAAATGACTTGAAAGATATTTATATAATAGTAAGAATGTATCAAATATTATCTAAGATCAGTTTACTATAGAACTCACTTCTCTCTTCCCCTTCTAAGAAATTTAGTCATTTTGATTAGTTATATATATGTCTACTTCTCTCCTATTCTATAATATCAGCTAATATCTAACTTCCTTAAGTATTTATGTTCTTGGCTTGTAAATTTGTTTTTCTGATTAATTTTACCAATTGATAAATACTCTTTACACTTATAAGCTTAAGAAATTATTATTAATAGAATGAAATTATAAGTAATAGAAATTAGTATTTATGTAATGCAATTGTAAGAATTCTATTAGTTAAATATGAAATTAAAGATTTTGAATAAGATCTTCCTGGTATTAAGAAGTTTAAAAAACAATAAATATATATTTCTTAAAATTTTAAATATTTTTTTTATTTAACAATTAAATTTTTTGTTACATATATATTTAATATTAATAATGAGTTTTAAACTATATAGTTAAGTAAAAAAACTAAATTGGTTTTAAATTAGAAGATAGGTTAGGTAGACTAGATTAAATTTTAATTAGTATATAGGTAAATCTTGGTCAGATCTTAAATAAATTTAGATATATAGTTAGTTTTAGTAGCAGATATATTAGTTTTAATTATAAAATAGATGGTTAGGTAGTTAGTTTCTAATTATAAGTAGTGGTTGCTTTTATTGAATTGTAAAATTATAAAAGTGGGTTTATAATTATACGAATAACAAAAATAAATATTGTAAATCGTTATATATATAAGACCTGAGTCTTTTACATTTTATCAAGTTTAAAATCTATAATAGATCCTGGGTTTAGTATATAGCTGAGAGTTTATATCACTAAGAGAAGAGTATACCAGGTATACTACATATGTATGTATGTATATATGTGATAGGTTTATATATATACAGTATGTAACAATTTATAAAAATTTGTACATTTCTATATTAAGGTTTTTATTATTTAAACTGTGTCAAATTTACTTAGTAATTGTAGATCATTTTGTTTCGGTGAGTGACAGATTATCAATTAATTTTCTTTTATATTAGTATCTATTTTTATATATATATTTGTTTTTTTTTTCTATCCCTTTTTTTGTATATTTTTTTTTTTCTTTTTCTACAAGAAAATATTACCAAATTGGTAGTATTTTATTGTAGAACAGAAATTTTAACAAGGCTAGCTATACACCAACTGTTGATTTTAGAGAAATTAAATCCAAAATAAATTTTAAATCTCCAAAAAAGATCAAATATAGCTTTGGCAAGTTATATCTAAGTACAACATAGTGGTTTAATGGTTTGTTCTAACTGCAAGTAAAAACTTCAGCAAAAACTAGATAAGTTTCCTTTTGGTTAAGATATAATAGATATATAGGATATTCTATAAAATAAGTATGCAATATAAGAAATAAACTTCATTAATGATTAGTAATCATTAATTTTTTAATAGCAGAGTTGTGAAGTTTGCAGGGTTTGCCTATCTATTCTATAGAACATCCAATATATCACCTATATAAAAATTCAGTTTTTCTTTAAATAAAAGTAAAAAGAATTGTTTAAAGAAGAAAAAAAATATATATATACCACAATACCTAATACTTTAATAAATAATTAATATAAACTATAACAAAATTTCAGCTAAAAAATTCTTTATATTGTCAGAAGTAAATTGACTCCAAAAAAAAAATACCAAATTGTCATTTAAGAAAGAAAAACATCATATAATGTTGCTCAATAGAGAGGTGAAGCAGATATTGATTTGGCAAAGGTCTAAAGCATCTATTGGATATTGTTACATATGTAATTTGGTACAATTTTAAAGAGTATTATATTTTGGCTTGTACTTAAAGAATCTTTTATTAAGGATTTAAATGTGTAGAAGGCAAATTACACACTCTTTTGTCAAGAGAAATTCGACCTCTTATTTATAACAAAATTACAGAGCAAGAAAAAAAACAAAATCGAAAGTTCACATTTTCTTTTGTCATTGTACCGCCATTGAACTCAAGCCATATAACCCTTTTCTAGTCTAATTCCCTACCCCTTGCACACAGCCATTTTCATTGAAACATTCTACGGAAAGAAAAGAAGGCAAGTCAAATGAAGGCTTCTACGCCATCATTATTGCACTTAACCCGACAAGGTAATATTACCTTGACAGCTGTCAAGCCGAATCGGGTAAGTATCTTTTTCTCAAAGAGATGTACGGCGTAATCGTTCGATGGGGCTTGGCTTTCACAAGGTCGACATTAGTGCTTCGAACGGAGGGTCTGGCTTCAACAGGTTTGTTGCAGAGGATCGTCATTCAATAACTGTGGGGTCCCAGGTTATTGCAATACAACGGTCTTTTGCGTAACGATTCGTAGGTCAATCGTGCACGTTTCGCATAATCCATATTGGATGTTTATACAGTAATAAATTATTAATTATATTCGAAACCTTTGAAATCGCAACTTAAATATAAAATTATTTTCGTTAACAAACTAGATAACCAGATTAGACTTCAACAAAAAAAATCACAATCAAATTTCGCTATCGTAAAAAAAAATCATTTATTTCACCTAATCTCGAAACCTGATTTGCGCATGGGCAGGCGCACGACTTGTTTATATGTAATGTAACCTAGTTTGCAGTATCGGTATCAGATATCTAGCATTGAAATCAAAAAGGATCACATGCACATTAGTGCGTCATGTTACATCGAGAAAATCTAAATGTAGTATTGTGTATTTCAAAAAATTTCAAATACGATACATTTTTGTAACAAACGCCCATTTTTAAAATTAATAATTATTTTTTTTGGAATGTGTAATGTAAATTTAAATGTCGGGTGTCGATACATATCGGTATAAACAAAAGTTATTGACACACAGTTATTGATACACTCTTCTTTTCAAAATGAAATCCATTACGCAAAAAAAGCGAATAACGGAAACGTGCAATACTAGATCAGTGGCTATAATCATTACTGTCTTTTCACTTATGCTTATAGCAATATCTTTAAGTATGATTCCATACGTTCCTGGTGACATTAAATCAGATTTTTATATATCAGAAATAGAATCACAAATTGAGCATTTAGACACCAACCAAGTTTTAATTACCAACTTATCATCAACAATTTCCTCAAAGAATTTAATTTTTATTGGAGACGTTCATGGATCATTGAAAGAACTTAAGAGACTTTTAAAAAAAATTCAATACAATTCAACGAACGATCATTTGATATTTGTTGGAGATCTAGTAGCTAAAGGCCCCGAATCACTAGAAGTTGTTAGATTGGTTAAAGAATTAGGAAGTAGCTGCGTCCGTGGAAATCACGATGAGAAATTAATACAATGGAAAGTATTTTTAAACATGTTGAACGAAAAACGGGTTAAGTTGAAAGATTATGTTAAAAAGAATGCATTACCACCACACCTAAGTATGGAGAACGAGCATATGAGATTAGCAAGGTTCAGATTTTTTTAAGTGAAATTAATTTTATAATTATATGGGAAATCTTTTTAATGAAATTTTTTGAATCTTTGAACAAAAATAATTCAACAAAAGCTTAATTAAATATAATAAAAATAAATTCTACAAGTTTATAGAATTAATTTAAAAAAAAAATTTTTATTATTAAATTTGCTTAAGTTATTGTTGAGTTATTTTTTTTCAAGGATTTAAAAAAATTTTACTTAGAAAAAATTTGGTGCGTTTCTACTGACTCACCCCCATATATTGAACAGTATATTTGAACAGTATATGTAATATGTATATTTTTATATTATAGAAATATCGATAAAGAGCTTTATGAATTCATTTCTTCGTGCCCTGTCGTGATTAACATTCCAGAACAAGATATATATGTAGTTCATGCGGGTCTTTTACCAGACGTACCTATTGATCAACAGAATCCAGAAGACATGATGAATATGGTATGAAAGATTACACCATTAATTATCTTTGCATATTTGTTAAGTACATATTTATCCATAAATTAATATAAATTAATATAATTAATATAATTAATATAGAGAAACATAAAAGAGAACGGAAGACCAACTAAATCCACAAATAAAGGACATTCGTGGTCTAATTATTGGAACACTGCACAGCAGTCTTCGTTCACACCAAAAACAGTCATATATGGTCATGACGCATCACGTGGGTTAAACATTAAAGAATTCACATTTGGGTTGGATTCAAGATGTGTTTATGGTGGGGAATTAACTGCATTGAAATGGAATGAAGGAAAAAGTATTCACAGTGTTTCTTGTGCAATATATTGATAGATATTATAGATATTATACATCATTTATTATATATTACGTATTATATCAATAAAATAAAATAAAATAGAATAAAATGAATTAACAAAAATATTATATGATAGGTGCTTCGACCGTTGTTGAACAACGGGCAGCGTGATCACATGATGCGAAACGGATCGAACATCTAAATTTTTATAATATAGATATTACTTTGCAGTATTCACATGTCCACATGATTGACATTTTCTTAATTCTTCGTTTGTAGCGTATTTTTGAATAATAGGCTTCAATTGAGTTCCTAAGTCATAACAGTGAAATGACTCTTCGTACACTATAGCTTTACAATTTTCACAATACCATCGAAGACGATCTGTAATTTAAAGAATTAATATATTGTAATATCAAATGTTGATCAAACATAAGTAATAAAAAAAAATATATATATATAATACCTATTTCTTCAGGTCTACGATTTCTTTCGATTACGACGCCAATTGTGTTAGCAAATCGAACTGGGTTGTGTGGAGTGTTACCTGACGGAATATAATAATTAAATGAAATCATTATTAAAGGCCGGTACTAAACGGAGAACGATCTATGGAGAATAGAATGTGTCCATCGAATTTTCCAATGTTTTTTTTTTTTTTTGGCCAATCAATATCGATCGCCAGAGAAATACTTAGTAAAGAAATTAAAGCAATTCTCCGGACACTAACGGAGTTCGTTTACATGATGTAAATACAGGATAAATTGATCCTACCAGATAGCAAAAACATTTCACCTTCTTTTATAGGAATATCCTTGAATTCACCATCATCAACAATTTTAAGAACCATATCTCCTTTATATTGGTAAAACCATTCCTGTGGTTTGAATTTTGATACAAAATTTAAATCGCTATGATTGTATTATCTCAATATTTTGAAATGAATTAATTACAGACCTCTGTTTGATTAATATGATAGTCTGTTCGAGCATTTGGACCTCCAATCGCCATTACAATAAAGTCACCCCGTTGTATAAGAAAATTATTGACCGGCGGTTGTAACTTGTTTTTATTCTCTTCTACCCATACGGGAAAATTTATTGGCGGTAAAATTGGCATTTTTAAAGAACGTTTGTAAATCAAAAATTTCTCTATTAGTCATCCTTATATATTTGCGCCTACTATACATATAGGATCTACATTGTGCAGGTCACATAGGGATTTTAATGAAAAGACGTCATTTTATATGTGCCACGTGTCTTTTAATTTACTTACGTACGTTCGTACGGTGCAAGAAATTTAAAAACCACAATCTCCTTATAAAGATCAACACGGCTCAGTTTTTCCAAAGTCATAATGGGTTTGATCTTCGCTGAGAGCTATAAATACTTTATTGAAATCGATAATTTAAGAAATGCTTGATTTCAAATGAACTACTTAATTATACTTACTTAAGGATAGAGAGTATATAGATCATTTCTATCCTATTTTTGACAGGCAATCCGGATTGAATCCGCATCAGATTACATATAAAGATAGCTTTGTAGCACATCCTTAGGTTCGTTATTTAAGTTTTTTGACTAATCCGAATAAAAATCTCTGATCTGAAAATCTGAATCTATCTGGGTTTAAAGATCAATTCAGATAGTCGGATTAAGGATCGAAGCTCTAATCATTTCTATAAACTACAGAACTAGTGACCAAAAAGTATTTTAAAAGTTGCTACATATAAAAGTTGTTTTTTTTCTAAATCAATCTTTATCATTAAGTAAAATTGTTCGCAATAAAAAATTACACATTCTAAAGTTTTTATAATAGCAACTTTGTTATTCTGCGGGGTAAAATAGATTCATGAAGATAAATATATATATATATATATATATATATAGTTATATCCCGTGATCCACTGGGCCAATTTTAATGATTCTACTACTGTTAGAATCAGAAATGCCTCCTCTATGATTTTAAAATTTAAAAAGGTTAAAATTTTTTTTAATATCAAATATAAAAATTTTTGCACCTATTTTATTAACTACATACCGTAAAAGTGCGGAATCTTTATTAATCAAATTTAGTTTATTTCAATTAGCTAAACTTCTATTATAAATACAAAGCGGGTCTACGAAAGGGTTTTAAAATTGGTGAAATGTAAGAGACCCGGGTCTTGTATATGCACTTTTACGGTACCCTTAATTGCAGTTTAAAAAAAAAAATAATCATACACGTAATTGAATAAAAAAATAAAACTATCAAATGATTTGTTTTTTAATGATTCGCACAATTTATATTTCTTTTCGAAGACACATGTCGAAATAGCACTCTAAGTCTTTATTTTTTCCAATGAGCGCAAAAGTTTCGAACAAGTGCTACCTACATAGAGGTTTTTTTTAGATCTGCAGATGGGTGCAATTAATTTTTTTCGGTTTAAAACAGACTATTTTAAGGTCGAAGCCTTTATATTATAACAAACTCTATGGTAAAACAATTAATTCGCAATTAGTTGTATTGCAATTGTTTTTTTTTTTTTAAAAAAAATAATTTTAATTGATTGTAATTGCATAATCATTTAATTTGTCGGTACTCCTACCCCTGGCTTAAATTATGCGACCTTTGTTATTATATATAAGTTATCATGCAAGCCCTTATGATAAGTTTTTTAACGCTTCTTAATCTGAGATTGAATTAGGAGTAGGGATGGATCAGTCCGGTCCTAATAAGACCGGTCCATTACAGCTGTTTTCATAAATTCTGGGACACCTGATAAAAATTTGCCGAATGATTTTTCGGCCGATTCGATTAAGTTATTGATTTCGGCAATGATTGTACATGTAAGATAATTTCACTAAAATCAGGAACGTAGACAACGATATTTATAATTATATATGCTAATTCTTACATTATAATTAGATTTAGCATTACGACCTAATCTTGAAAATTTATTCATTTATTTGGTTACAATATGGAGAGTTTCGCATTATCTGTTACAAACACAAAATTCAGAATTTGCTACCACACGCATCGGGTTCCGCTTTCGGACAACTCTATAAAAAGTAATATTCATGTTGAATAGACAGAATGGCATTTTTTTTTAGACATTTTTCACACATTTACGTAAAACACATATACAAATATAGGGGGCGGCTAAATAGCGGTGCGAGTTTTTACCTATAACTCCTCTTAAATATAACCAAAATGGCCCTAACCCTAACCCTAGATAAAGACCTTAAATATATATAATATTATACAATCCTCCTTTTTTTATAGGGCAAGTTAATAACAAGAAGTAGATCATTATGTCATGAGAATCAAGAAAGTAGATCATTATGTCATGGTAATCTATGTCACAAGATTACTATACCGAATAAAACCAAGATTTATGTACGAACGCAAAACTCGATACACTCGTTTCACTACGTTCCTGGTATAATATCGACACATTCAATATTAAATTCTTGTTTGAATACTTACACATCATGTTTGATGGTTTAGTTTGTACGAAATTTATAAAAAAGACTATCGGAAATACAAAAAGGCTCCGAATATAAATTCGACTTTATAATAAATATAGGGAACGCCTATTTCCACCATGAAAATTGACTATTTCCACTATGCTTTTCACATGAGTTTCAGTTACATAAGCATGATTTCATGGTGGTTTCCTAAAACGTACGTATGTTATTTTCAAATTGAAAAATAACATTCGTCAATTGATAATTGACATACATTGAAAAATGGGCTAAATGTTAGATTCGATTGTCCGGGCATTTTGCCGATTAATTATGTAAAGGTTGATTTACTGTTATTCCATAGTATAGAAATAATAGTTTCGTATTATATTTTCTATTGTGTCACTTATTCGGTTAGTGTCTTCATACGGCCGGATTTTAATTATTCCCCTTTTTGCGTTTTGATTATCTTCTTTCTGTTTCACATGGTAATTAAACTTTCTGTACTGTATGCACGGGTATACGTCTTGTTGGTTAATTCGGTATACTCGGGGACTGCTTCCTAATAGTTGTAAAAATCGGGTTCGCATATTTTTTGGGAATATGCATAGGGATGTTAAATTGCGAATCCGGTCCGGTCCGATCCCAGGATCTATTAGGACGGTCCCGGACCTATTATGAAAAACCGTTAATTAATCGATCCCAGGACCGGGTCCTGAATTACAATCCTCAACAGGTTCATCCAATCAGATTGACTATTAAACCAAATTTTATTTCTTTTCGTCAAAATGACGACCTTATTACACAATTTTTTTTTACATAAAAAAAAATTTATAAAATTTATATATATATATATATATATATATATAAACAGAAAATATAAAAAAAAAATATAAAGAAAAAACATAATATATAAAAAAAAAAAATTTTTTATATAAAAAAATTATATAAAAAAAAAAAAAATTCACTTATTTATTAGCGTTAAATGCTAACCGCTTCTTCACTTACCCTTTCACTTAAAATTTTACCTAGTTCAGTGTACCAGCTTTTTAGACACAACGACACACATGCCATTTCAGGATTTATACAATTTCAGATGGGAGTAATCGTATGCTTAGTAACAGAAAAAGCTTGCTCACTAGCAACGCTAGTGGCTTGCACAGCGAAAAAATCTATTGTGATACGAGAAAGAGTTGGGTATTGTTTGGAATTTGCTTTCCACCATAGCAGTGGTTCAGCTTCAGTTTCAGGTTCGGACAAGTAGGTTGTGATCTCACACTAATTCTTGTTAACTTGATTGCAATTCATAAGATTGTGAAAAAGATCACGTGCTGATTTAGTAGCAGGTAGTAATGGTGATTAATTTTCTTCAGCTGGTTTATAATTTTCATACACCTCATGGAGTATATTAATAGCTTGCTCATATTTATTTACTACATAGGTTGAGAGCTTATTATGTGGATCAAGAAGGTTCGAAATTGTTAACGACTTATTCAAGTGAACCCAATATGATACGAACTTTGTTTTCATTGCACTGGCTACGGCATATTGTGTATTAACCTCTGGGTTTTCATTATTATTTAAGTGAGTAATTAGGCTACGGAATACCATACGAAGATCACTTTGAGTAGGAAGTGTTGATGAAAATAGCATTACAGTTGCATGATACATGGGCTCAAGAAGTATTAACAGGTCCTGTAATTATATTTATTAGAGTTGAGTATTTAAAAAAAAAAAATTTAAATTAGCATTACTAACAACGATAATCTTCCATTCTTGATCATCGGGATAGTTTGGCTTTAAAGTTTGGTTGCCTGCTACAAGGATATTAGTCATAGGGCGAATTCGTTGAAGTTTTTCTAACATAATATACATGCTGTTCCATCTTGTGTTGACGTCAGTTTCAGGCATTAAAAATAGTATATTTTTCATTTCAAAGATTTTTTTAATTCACGAATAAGCAATAGAGAGTTTCAAAGTTTTATAGAGAACTCCCGTGTCTTAGAAATTTCTTTACTAATTGATTTTATTCCTTCTTCGACAATAATATTGAGAATATGCACACCATAGCAAAAATGCTGTACATCTTGATTATCAAATTCATCACTAATTTTTTCTTTTAGAATATGCCCTATCGCAAGCATATTGATAGCATTGTCGGTTGTGATTCCTAAAAGTTTTTGACCAAAATTTATTTTCTTTAAAATTCCGATGATCGCATCGGCTTGGTTGATTGCAGTGTGGGTTTCATTAAATAGGATAAGGTCAAGTAAGATATGATTCATTTTCTAATCAGGGTTTATCCAATATGCAGTTATGGCGATGTAGGGTTGTTGGGTACAAGAGGTTCACCCATCCATTGTAATTGAGATTTTTGATTGAATTGTATTTAAAAAAAATTTGATTTGATTTTTATTTTTAATATAATCTTAGCTAACTCAAGTTGAGAGTATTTGCCAACATGGGAGTCTGTAGCGAGGATCAATTTCCTTTAAAAAATTATTAAATTCAGCATTTTCTGCTAATAAAAATGATTGTTGATCGACAACTACCTATTTTAAAAGTTTATTGTTTAAAATATCTACTTTATATTTGTCATTTGGGCCATAGAGGTCGAGCCGACGAGATTTAAGTTGCCTGATCTTAGTAAACTCTGCAAGGTGAAAATTTTGAAAGTGCTGATTAATAGTTGATATCGCGGTCAGGCTACCAAATTCTTGCTTGCATAGTTTGCATATATTACCTCCATCATCATCAATTGATGAAAGGTAATCTCTAACAGGTGCTTGTTTATTTGCAGATACGATATATATATTTTTTTTTTGGTGTGTTTTTTCTATGTTATCTAGAGATGAGAATGCGATTTCATCGCCAGTAGAGATTTCTTTACTAAAAGTTTCTTTATCTATGAATTCAAATTTGAATTGATTTGGTTCAAATTCGAATTGATTTGGTTCAAATTCAAATTGATTTGGTTCAAATTCAAATTGATTTGTTTCAGTAATAGATTCAAATTCGTTTGTTGCCATGATTTTTTGTTTTTTTTTTGTTTTTTTTTTTTTGAAGATTTTTAAATAAAATTTAAATACATTACTTGTTAAGATATGGCTTTTGTTCACTGAGAAAGGCATACTAGCATATTCGTCTTTATAACTACACAAGGGAAAGCATATCACTTTTGTTACTACGTGCTTTATCATTATATTGGGAAAGGCATATTCACCTTTATAACTATACTGGGAAAGGCATATCGCCTTTGTTACTACACTGGAAAAGGCATTTCACCTTTGTTACTATACATTCATTATTACTATACGCTTCATCATTATATTGGGAAAGGTATATTTGCCTTATAACTACACTGAGAAAAGCACATTGCCTTTGTTACTACACTGGGGAAAGCATTTTGCCTTTGTTACTATACATTTCATTATTACACTGGAAAAGGTATATCACTACACTTGGGAAGATATATCGCCTTCATTACTAAACTAGGGAAGGCATATTGCCTTCATTACTATACTAGGGAAAGACATTGCCTTTGTTATTAAAAATTCAACTTGATAAAAGTTAGATTTTCTAGCTTTTATATCAAAAAATAGGATAGTTTACTTTAAAACAAAAACGCTATTCTGTTATTACTTAAGAAATGATTCATTTACTGATTAAAATTTCTTTTACACAAGCTGATAAGATAAAAGTAGTCAACAAGTGTAAGTTATATTTCTTTTGTTATTAAATACAAAATGAATTAACTTTTATAAGCTTAACTTATCTAT